GCCCCCGCCCGCGCCGCCTCCCTCCCCTCCCCCCGACCGCCGGCTGGCAGTGAGAAAGTACGTGAAAAGTCCAAGTGCAGCCGGAGGCTCCGCGCGCCATGGGCTCCGGCTCCTCCAGCTACCGGCCCAAGGCCATCTACTTGGACATCGATGGCCGCATCCAAAAGGTACCCCCACCGCCCGTCCCTTTCCTCCCTGCCCACCAGCCCCGTCTGCCCCTCGCGGTGCCCAGACTGCGGCGCCCCCGCCCAGCCTCCTCCTCCCGAGGCCGCACCTCCGGGTCGCCGCCGCGGCGGGGCGAGGTGGGGGGCGCAGGAGCCCGGGACGATGCGCGGGGCGGGCATTGAGGTCGCGGATCCGAGGGCCCCGTCCGCGCGTCCGTGGGTCCCGGGCTGCGGCCTCCTGCGCGGGGCGCGGCGCGGCGCGCGGGCAACTTCGGCCGGGCGAGCGGCGGGGCAGGTGTCCCGGGCTGGTGCGACTCGCAAGGGAAGGTCTTTTTGAAATCGAAATTTCTTTTTGCATTTCGTGGTTTTCTTTTTAAAGGCTACATGAGGCCGAGGTTTTACGTCCGCCGTTGTCACGTAACGCCTTTCGTTTCCGGTGAAACGACCCCTAGAGTGGGCCATCCCCCCACCCACCATGAGCACGGAGCTGGCCTACCGGACAGCCCAGAGTGTGCCAGCCACCTAGAGGGCCGTTCCTGGGTATCCACCAGGGGCAGGTGCTGCAGGGCTGACCCTACACGGGGCTGACATCCCCCCACCCCAGCGCCCCTGCTTCCCAGGGGTTCAGCTCTGACCTCTCTGGGCGGGTCTGCCTTTTATTTTTTTTGGTCTTCCCCCAGGCTAGGGTGGTCGTTATCTCCCTTTGGTGGTCCATGGTGCCCTCCTATTTGGTGGTATGAAGTCGGGCGCCCTAACCAACTTTGGCTCCCCAAAGGGAGAGGTCCAGGGCAGACACGTCTGCCTGTGGCCCCTGCCCTTCAAGCATCTAGTGAATCCAGAGTCTTGGAACCCGGCTTCTGATTTGGGGGAGGCACCTGCCGCTTCCCTTAAGCCCCCCCCCTTGTGAGGACTTTGCTCTTGAACAGAGAGAGGCACAGACTTCTCAGGGATGTCCTACAACTGTTCTTTCTCCCCTCGCTGCCCCAGAAAGAGGCCTGGGGGGGAGATGTGCTCCCCAGCCTCAGAGAAGACACAGGAGGCTCTGGGAACTGGTCTCCTGGAGGCATCCATCCTCTGCAGGCTGGGGGGTTTAAGCCACAGACCACCTCGCCCCCCTCCCCCAAGCTTGATTTCAGGAAACAAAGGTGTTGACACCCCCCTCCTCCCAGCACCCAGTACCAAGTGCAGTGCCCTGAGTGTGTCAATACCTACCTGCCTACCTCTACCTGCTCCTGGGCTCTGCTGGGCTCCTCAGGGATTCCAGGGAATGGTTTTTCAGAAGATCACCAGGCTTCTCTGTTAGCAGCACTGCCCAAGGACTCCTTCCCCGCCCCATGCCAGCTCTGATAGAACCAGGTAACTTGGAGCTAGGAGTACCCTTCAAGCCTGGGCACCCACCCTCTCCCTTTCCTGAGCATTGGTGACCTGGTCAGTGGCAGATTCAGGCCTGCCCGGGCTCCTTGACTTCCAGGACTAGGGACCTGCCTGCCTCTGTTCTCCCCCAAAGGAAAGAAGGGGGTCCTGATGGATGTTTTCCTGTTGACACAGACAAGCACACATTCATTCACAGGATCACACACACACACACAAGGACACACCCCACTGCTCCTCCCCCACTGGCTGACAGTTTATCACACTCTCTTTTAATGTTTCTGGAGGTGAGATAAGACTGTCACTAGGTGATACAGAAGCCAGTCCTTTCCCAAGCACCTCCCAAGTTCTCCCAGGGCTGCTGGTATGTGGCTGGGGTGGGGTTGGGGTGGCATTGGGCTCAAGGGGACAGTGGGGGAGGGGCAGAGAGGACTGGGTCGGGCCAGTTGGCCTTCTCTTCGGGCAGGTGGTTTTCATGGTGGACAGATGGAGTTGGGCTCGCTTCCCAGAAGGTAGCCACACTCGCTGGTCCTGTCCTGGGAGAGGGTGGACACCTGCGTGCAGGCAGAAGGATGGACCTGGGGAGGGGGCAAGTCTGAAGTGCAACCTAAGCTCCCCACTTTCAGACAGCTTGAGAGAGTTCCTGGGTGTCCCTCAGCTAGCAGTACTTAATTAGCTATCCGTGATGTGAGCGGGAAGCTGAATACCAGCTTCAGAGACTAGGGAAGTGGTTCCCAACCTTCCTAATGCCGCGACCCTTTAATACAGTTCCTCATGTTGTGGTGACTCCAATCATTAAATAATTTTCATTGCTACTTCATAACTGTCATTTTGCTACTGTTATGAATCGGTGACCCCTGTGAAAGGGTCGTTCGACCCCCAAAGGGGTCGTGACCTATAGGTTGAGAACCATTGCTTCAGAGAGATATGTAAATTGTCTTGGAACAGGGGGAGCTCATAGGCTTGAGAATCTATATATGTATGCATGAACGTATCTATTTCAATGCCCTTTACCTGATACACATGAAGCAGGAGGCAATCTTCACACCTCTGCCCTGTCTGAAACCCCCTTCCGCTTACCCTCTACCCTCAGTGCCCTCTGCTCTCAACACCGCTGGGGCAGGCAGAGCTAGACATTCAGACCTAATTAAGAAGCAGACCGTGTGGGGCTGGAAGCCAACCCCCTCACTCGCTGGCAGCCCCCACACCCACAGCACTGTGGACTTGATTCTCAGCAGGACACTCCATGCTCCTGTTGTGCATCCCTCCTTTAAAGAGCCAGGCTCTGGGTCCTTTCCCAGGCCCATTCCCAGCAGGCAGCATCTCCTCCCCGACAACCCAACATCTTCCCACGGACAGCCATGGGAACAAGCCCACATTGCCTCCCAGGGAGAAACCAGAAACCACTCCGACCCTGTGTGTGTCAGAGCAGAGCCACATGTGCCCCATGGGGCATTTTACTGTTCTCTCCATGGAAGTGAATCACCAGGCCTGAGTGGCACTGGGCAGCTTTAAGATGCAAGTCTTTAAGTTCGTAAACAGAACTAACTCACACCACTAAGTCTATCCAGACTCAGTGACCCTAGAGGGCAGAGAAGAACTGGCTCCAGGGGTTTCCTCAGTTGTCAGTCTTTACGGAGCTGGTAGCTTCAACTTTCCCCCATGGAGTGACTAGTGGGTTTGAACTGCTGACCTCTCGGTTCATAGCCCAGCACATAATCCCCGGTGCTGCCAGGGTTCCTTTTTAAGTTAGTAGCTAATGCACACAGGGGGTACCCCGAGGACATTTTCAGGGAGAAGACAGCACAGCGCTCTGCCACCCGGGTAGTCACACCTACTGTCCGGGTCCAGAGGAGCAGACGGGACCTGCACTATCTGTTGCTCGTCCCTCAGCCATGCCAGTGCTGGTCATCTCACGCTTCCCCTAGAGCAAGGGGCCGGGGGAGGGTTGGCAATGTTCTGCCGAGGGCCGTTTGGCTACTTAGACTCCATTCACAGGCCACTCACAATTAGCAGCTGAGAAATTAGCCTGCCGTATTTGGCCAAACATTCCGTTAACTCCCCCTAGTGTGATGGCTGGAACGGCCTCTCTGTGGTGAGGTGTGTGATGTTAGCTGGTGGGGAAGATTTCCCGGGCCCTAAGGGGCCCACGAGGAGCCCTGGTGGCGGTGTGGTTACACACTGGGCTGCTAACTACTAGGTCAGAGGTTCGAACCCTCCAGCGACTCCAAGGGTGACTGCCGGTGCTCCTGCCAAAAGAGTTACAGGATTGGAACCCCACAGGGCGGTGCTGCTGGGTCGTACAGGGTCACTATGCGTCAGAGTTGACTTGATGGCGGGGTTTGGTTTGGATGTGGCCCTCAGGCCTGGCATTCCCCACCCCTGCCCTTGCCAGTGGAAAGATGGGAGGAAAAGGGAGGACTGAGAGCCGTGACCCGGAAGGTGCTCTCTGCTCAGGCCCCGCCTGCAGGGAGGTTTAAAGTCGGTGCAGGGAGTCTGGCTGGAAGTGGCTGGCTGATGGTGAGACTTTGAGGGACCTTCGGGAAACCACCACAGTGTGGCGGCTGATTGAATGTTTTCTTCACAAGAAGACCCCAGGCTCACCCGGGCTCACACCAGGAGGCACCTTTGACCCTGTAGACCCAGTTTCCCATCTGAGGCTTTTCCTGAAGCTAGGGGGCCCAGGTGGCCATCTTCCCGGGTCTGCAGGCCTCCGGATGGCTGGAGGCATGTTCCTGGGGTCCCTCAGACTGAGGCCCCACGCTTAGCCCTTCCACATCTCCTCTCTGTGCCATTAGGTTGGGGCATAGCCTGTGTATGCCCGCTTCCTCAGTGACAGCAGGACAACTTGCTTTGAGCATTAAACACAGTAAAGTGAACCACGTAGTTAGCTGAAGTTTCCGCTGAGGGCCACCTGCGGACTGAGGGCTAAGACCCAGTGAGAAGGTGATGTACCCGGTGCCTGTGAAACGGTGGTGGTCACTTTCAGGCTGGCCCTTGTGGCCTGAGCCAAGTGCTAGCCCCGCCCCAGGGGCAGGCAGGAGCACACTCATTGGCCACTGTTTCAGGGCTCCTGTGATGGTGTGGGCGCAAGGCTGGGGCAGAGGCAGGGACTGGCGGGGAGAGCCCAGATGTCCCCACGTGAGGCCTGGTGCTCGGTTTCCCTTTGTCCATGAAGACTAGGCTGCTGGGGCAGGAACCCTTTAAGCAGGTAGGTGGTGAATGAAGTGGTTGTTGGTTAGGCACTGCTGAGTGGTGGGGGGAACATCCTCTCCCAGCATCCCTGTGCCCCTGCCCCGCCAGCCCCCCCCCCCATGGCTGCTTTTCTGCTTGCTGGGGAGCCAAGGCCAGGGCTTGGTGTCCCTTTTCTTCCCACTCCCTCAGCAAGTGAGCCCATCCCTGTCCTCTGCAGCCAATCCTTCAGGTGACCTTTGGAACGAGGAGACCAGACACCCCCAAACCTAGAGAGTGGGAAAAACCCCGCTTCAGAAGCTGGGCACCCATTATCTTTGTCCACATGGGCTTCCTTCCACCCAGCCTGGGAGCCCCTGGCTTCAGCACTTGCTCAGAGAACTGGGGTTGAACTGTAACACCCCAGGAGTGGGGATGGGGACAGTTCGGATGTGGCTGAC